GATTTTTGGATCATGTCAATACATGCCTTGGTTAATTTTTAAGAGCGAAATGAGCTTGTCACCAACAATTTGCAATTTTTTCAATTGTCATTTCTCTTTTGAAGATATTTTTCAATGTGACAAGGCGGCTTTGGAAATTATTGTGAACTATATACTACTATATGAACTGCCCATCATGTTCGACGTTTGGAAAATGCTTGGCAGAAGGGTATGATGTCGTAAAGCAGTACTAGGTTCATTAAATGAATTTTGCTTGGTCCTTAAAGAAGAATCGGAAAACATAACGCAATATGATATATGCAGCCTCAATGACAGTATGAACGAACGTATACAGGCAGTTATAGCAGCTAAGGACGACAATACAAAGTATTAGGGTATTTTTACTTTAATATCGTTAGTTCTGATTATCGTTATTAATGTTTAGTAAAACCCGGACTGTATCGTTAGTCTTTAACGGTTTTTTATTTATTTATTATAGAGTATTCATTGCAGTCGCCATCATCATCAATAGTCACCAAAACCATGTCATCATATTAAAAAATACATAAAAAATAATGTAAATCAAAAAAATTACAAAAGGATCGTTATCAGTTCATTTCACTCTTAAAAATTAACCATAGAATGTATTGACATGAATCAAAAAACAAAATGCTCAGGAGTCATGGTTCTGACCGTAAAATGTAATTTTAAGAAAATTTACAGACGAAATTATTGCACAGGGTGTTTTAAAGCTAGTGTAAAAAAACAACCCCTCGATTAACCCTGTATAATATGCCAAATACTAAACTTTATAAAAAGGTGAGTTTACGAATTAAAGTTGATATAATTATTTACAGCTTGCTAAAAAATTCATGAAAATAATGCTAAAAACACTTTAAATTTGACCAAAAATTTCCCCGTTGCGTTTTTTTGCATCTAAGTGTATATTCTTGGGGAATACTATTCTGAAAGATCTGACGTGAAGATCAAGGCCAAGACTGATCTGCAAGACTAAGATCAAGACTGACCAGTGCAAGAGTTCCGCAAGACCAAGACCAAGCATGCAAGAGTCTTGCAGTCTTGCTTTTTTTCACGTGTAGATGATATAAAAAATTACTTAATTGAGCAAACTTATTGTTTTAATTTATTACGAATAGTGTTGTTCCGACTATTGCATTCAACTTTAAAGGAGTAAATGCCTGACTGATTCAGTATAATTATATTATGCATTGAAAAATAAAAAAATTGTCAGAAAAATATTCTATATATTTCTTCTTAAAAGTTTTATTGGTCTTCATGTTCTTCAGACAATCCTGAGGGCGCAAACTTCAATTCTAAGAAAAATAGAGCACATTAGTAAAGATAGTACTTTGGGTATTTTAAAAGAGTCGCATCCGGGGTTATATCAAGCTTCATGGGCCTACATCCACGTTGTTCGAGTTTTGCCGGATCTATAGATAGATCGGTATAGGTACCTTAAGGTTCAAATTTATGAATAAAAAGGTAAGCATTACGATCTTTACATACTACTAAAAGATACTGAAGACACAATTACAGCCTTCCATCAAAACTGCCGATAATATTTTTAAGAAACAAAATGTCGTATTTTTTGCATAATAAGCAAACTATCTAGTTAGAAATGGAGCGAACACTCCAATAAGTGAAAGCGTGCTTCTTCTCAAGTGGAAACCGACTTAAAGCAAAACTTCGAAGACTCCATCAGTAACATGAAATGGGAATCCTCGAACAGTCTAAGACACTCGAAGAAATTCCTCAGGACTTAAGACCGAGAAAATCAAAGATTTTCCTAGATTTAAGTAAGAATAATCTACGGATTGTCACGGGGTTTTTAACAGGACACTGTTTCCTCAATGAACACCCCAATAGATTGAAGCTAAAAAACAACGGCGAATGCAGATTCTGTGGGGAAAATGGAGGAATATACAGGAACCACTCATCATTGAGGGTGTTTGGGTACAAGGGTTGGGTACAACTTAGCAGCAGTTGGCAGTTGGTTAGACAATTTCCTCTTTATTCCAATACTCTCTAAAGCTTCATTCAGAACCTAGGAATTAGTAGAATAAATTAGTGGTTTCAATTACACTTTATAGTTTTTAGTTTACGAACATTCAAAATGTTTAAAAAGCACAATCAATTAAAATTAATAAAATATCCTAGCAACAGCTTGCGTTAGTCAGATGTATCCATAGAGAAGCCTAATATTTAGCTTATAAAACAATCAACTTTTGATTTCTAACCACAATTTCTCTTGACGGATGATAATTAAAGGCCAAAATGACATTTCTCACAAATTTTGAAGTATAATTAGTGGAAAAGTTAAAAGTTTGTTATATTTTTTAAGATTACTACCACCAATTTTGACGTTGTGAATGCTTACATTGATAGTAGAGGAACAAACTTCTACGCTAATTGAAACCACTAATTTATTCCACTAATTGCGAGGTTCTGAATGCAACTAAATACTGATTTATTTAGCTGCATCGTTGTTTTCGTTATCTGCCGAAGACGTGGCCTGTCAGCAATGCAGTATGCAGTACCGGGGTCGATATTCAGCAGGATCTACATCTATCAGTACCGGTACCAAAAAAAGGTACGTGGATTCGTATCCATCAGAACCTACTCATCTCTCCATATTAGCTTATATTGTGATATTTAAAAAACACCATAGATCATTAAAAGTGCATCTGTTTACAATTAAAATGTACCATCGTCAAAAAATCCATCGGAAAATCCTCTCTGCTCCATATAAAAAGTCAAAATTCCTGAAATGCATTTTGGTGAAACCGCAAAGAGCCACCGAAATCCGAACCTCTTCCAATTAACAAAGGAACTCTTGCTGGGTCCAGCCGCAACTTCCGGCAGTGCCAGTACCATCTTCTTCGCCCATCGTCCTTCCACACATTTTCACGGCGTCTCTTGCCACCTCGATAAGCTTGAAAAGCTGTTTGGCTGCGGCAAATTGCCGCGCCAAGCTTTACTTTTCAGTTTGCCGATAGACTTCATGCGAGTGGGATTGTCGTCGGCGGTACGAGGTTCGAGGTCGATTTTTACGTAGAGCGAGTGCGGTACCGGTGTTTTTCGAGCGCGAATTAGTTGTGGGATTGTTTTTTCGATTGTTACTTTGTTTTGGACTGTTTAGAAATTGGATATTATAAGGATTTGAAGCTGTCAAGGTTTGTGTTTGGTCTTGCAAATTGTACTTGCGTATTTTTAAATTTACTTCAGTTATTTTTGTATTCACGAAATAGTAGTAACAACGATTAGTACTACTAATTAGAGAAAATATATAAAGAGATTTGAAACAATGTTTAATATTTTTGTATGGTATTTTTATCCAAAAAAGTGTTTTGAAGATTTAAATGCTAATGCTAACATGGTTAGCAATACGGAATAGCAAAATAAAACACTAAATCACCACAATACACAAAAACACTTTTTCTTTTACACTGGACGCGCGTTTCGCTAACCATGTTAGCATCATCAGCAGATGATTAAAAACTCAGAAAAAAGTTCAGTTTTTAATCATCTGTTGATGATCCTAACATGGTTAGCGAAACGCGCGTCCAGTGTAAAAGAAAAAGTGTTTTGGTGTATTGTGGTGATGTATGTGTTCGCCTGGTTTTGCAACGGAATACAGCCTTAGTGTTTTATTTAGCACACCAAAGGTTCCAACCCTCAACTGTAATACGGAATACGTGCGCCCAAAGAATAAAATCAAGTGTTGTGAAGTATTGTCAGAGAATTGTGTATTTCTATATACACATTATTTACAAAAAAAAGTTGCTTCAATACAACTGAATATATCTAATCCAATAAATTTGTCATTTGAAAAAAAAATTATGGTCAAGCTGATTTTTTCAGTTTGTCAGCGACTGTCTTCTGAGTGTAAAATAAACAAAATCGGAAATTTTCTCCTTGCGGTTTTTGAGCAATAGGTTTTTTTTTAAACTGCACTACAACAAAATAATTAGACGCAAATTGTACATAAGAACATTCTCTATAAGTTCGCCTAATTAATTTTTTTATAAATTTATTGTTTCCGGATTTAGCGAGCTTCATTCAGACCTAGGAATTAGTAGAATAAATTAGTGTTTCAATTACACTTTATATGTTTTTAGTTACGAACATTCAAAATGTTTAAAAAGCACAAATCAATTAAAATAATAAAAATTATCCTAGCACAGCTTGCGTTAGTCAGATGTATCCATAGAGAAGCCTAATATTTAGCTTATAAACAATCACTTTGATTTCTAAACACAATTTCTCTTGACGGATGATAATTAAAGGCCAAAATGACATTTCTCACAAATTTTGAAGTAGAATTAGTGGAAAAGTTAAAAGTTTGTTATATTTTTTAAGATTACTACCACCAATTTTGACGTTGTGAATGCTTACATTGATAGTAGAGGAACAAACTTCTACGCTAATTGAAACCACTAATTTATTCCACTAATTGCGAGGTTCTGAATGCAACTAAATACTGATTTATTTCGCTGCATCGTTGTTTTCGTTATCTGCCGAAGACGTAGCCTGTCAGCAATGCAGTATGCAGTACTGGGGTCGATATTCAGCAGGATCTACATCTATCAGTACCGGCACCAAAAAAAGGTACGTTGATTCGTATCCATCAGAACCTACTCATCTCTCCATATTAGCTTATATTGTGATATTTAAAAAACACCATAGATCATTAAACGTGCATCTGTTTACAATTAAAATGTACCATCGTCAAAAAATCCATCGGAAAATCCTCTCTGCTCCATATAAAAAGACAAAATTCCTGAAATGCATTTTGGTGAAACCGCAAAGAGCCACCGAAATCCGAACCTCTTCCAATTAACAAAGGACGCACTCTTGCTGGGTCCAGCCGCAACTTCCGGCAGTGCCAGTACCATCTTCTTCGCCCATCGTCCTTCCACACATTTTCACGGCGTCTCTTGCCACCTCGATAAGCTTGAAAAGCTGTTTGGCTGCGGCAAATTGCCGCGCCAAGCTTTAGTTTTCAGTTTGCCGATAGACTTCATGCGAGTGGGGTTGTCGTCGGCGGTACGAGGTTCGAGGTCGATTTTTACGTAGAGCGAGTGCGGTACCGGTGTTTTTCGAGCGCGAATTAGTTGTGGGATTGTTTTTTCGATTGTTACTTTGTTTTGGACTGTTTAGAAATTGGATATTATAAGGATTTGAAGCTGTCAAGGTTTGTGTTTGGTCTTGCAAATTGTACTTGCGTATTTTTAAATTTACTTCAGTTATTTTTTTATTCACGAAGTAGTAGTAACAACGATTAGTACTACTAATTAGAGAAAATATATAAAGAGATTTGAAACAATGTTTAATATTTTTGTATGGTATTTTTATCCAAAAAAGTGTTTTGAAGATTTAAATGCTAACGCTAACATGGTTAGCAATACGGAATAGCAAAATAAAACACTAAATCACCACAATACACCAAAACACTTTTTCTTTTACACTGGACGCGCGTTTCGCTAACCATGTTAGCATCATCAGCAGATGATTAAAAACTCAGAAAAAAGTTCAGTCTTTAATCATCTGTTGATGATGCTAACATGGTTAGCGAAACGCGCGTCCAGTGTAAAAGAAAAAGTGTTTTGGTGTATTGTGGTGATTTAGTGTTTTATATAGCTGTGTAACACCAAAGGTTCCAACACTCAACTGTAATACGGAATACGTGCGCCCAAAGAATAAAATCAAGTGTTGTGAAGTATTGTCAGAGAATTGTGTATTTCTATATATACATTATTTACAAAAAAAAATTACTTCAATATAACTAAATATTGGATTAGATCCAATAAATTTGTTATTTGAAAAAAAAATACGGTCAAGCTGATTTTTTCAGAGTTTGTCAGCGACTGTCTTCTGAGTGTAAAATAAACAAAATCGGAAATTTTCTCCTTGCGGTTTTTGAGCAATAGGTTTTTTTTTAAACTGCACTACAACAAAATAATTAGACGCAAATTGTACATAAGAACATTCTCTATAAGTTCGCCTAATTAATTTTTTTATAAATTTATTATTTCCGGATTTAGCGGCCGTTTCATGAGCCCTTTGGGGTGGTTTTTAAAAAGTTTGTTTTACAGCAAATTGACCCGTATGAAAGTTGTTCATAATAAATGGACAAAGCTTTTCCCCATGATTTTTTTTGTAGCTTCATTATTTTTGGAGATAGCGTCCAGTTCATGAACAAATTGGGGTAGTTTCATAATTTTTGTTTAGTTCTACAAATTTACCAACTTAAAGGTGTTCATATTAAAATTACATGCCAACTTCCCTATGATATGTATTTATTTCCCCAAAACGAAACATGGAATTCATCAAGTGAATGAATATTATGATTTTTTTTATTTGTATCGTCTTCTTTTGTATGATGTACTTGGCGTTGGCTCCTCAGATTGCCCCTACCCACACTTGCGTTTAGAAGAGTTGAGAAGAAGAGTCCTTTTCTCTGAACGTCCACAATTTCAGCAACATTCAATAATTTCTTGCAAATAAAACACGAATCCATTTTCCAATAGCACTTGTGAATTTCCTGAAAAACAGACCTTTAAAGCACAAAACACAAGCCTACACTAACATACAAAGCCTACAAAAAAAATAAGGCAAAGGTATATTGTACTCTTATTTTGAACGAGTTTCCTAGGGTGAATTTGCTGAAAAAAGAGTAACATTGAAAACTACCCTAATTTGTTCATGAACTGGACGCTATCTCCAAAAATAATCAAGCTAGAAAAAAAATTCATGAGGAAAAGTTGCCTGTCCATTTATTATGAACAACTTTCATACGGGTCAATTTGCTGTAAAAAAGTCCGAAAATAATAAACTTATAAAAAAATTCATTAGGCGAACATATAAAGAATGTTTTTATGTAAATCTAATTATTTTGTTGTACTGTTTTAAAAAAAACACCCCTATTGCTCAAAAACCGCAAGGAGAAAATTTCCGATTTTGTTAATTTTACACTCAGAAGACAGTCGCTGAAAAGCTCTGAAAAAATCAGCTTGCCCGTAATTTTTTTTCACTCTCTATACGGTGATACAATTTTACTGCATTAATCAAGATTTTTTTTATTGTTCTCTGAATTAGTGAAGAGCAAATGAAAGACCGAGACTTATTTGGTCTTGGTCTTGGTGTTGCAGGGTTCAATCCCTGATTTTGCTGCCAATGCACTGCCAACTTTCGCCAATTTGCTGCCAATGCACACTAGGGTTTCCGGAACCGGAGCAGTTTTTCGGAACCGGAAATTTCAGTACCGTGCCTCTTAAGAACCGGGATTTCCCGTTTTGTTTTCGCTCTTTCGATGCTGACTAATTTTTGTTCAATGGTGGTGCAGTTCATCAATCAGAAAAAAAAATGAATAAAAAATTGAGATTTTTAATGAAAATAATGTCAAATTATTAAGTAATCAGTCATGAGAAAATTAACATGAACACAAGTAAAAAAAAGTATAGGTAACTTAAATTCCACATCAAACAACTTAAACCAACTTAACTGAATTTGAGACGAAAGCCCTAAAATATCGAATTAAAAATGCAAATATCTATTAAAACATAACATAATAAATATTTTAGGAACTTCAAAAGAGAAAAGAAGCAAGAACAATAAGAAATAGCATCATTACTTATTTAGAAGAGTTTGATTTCGACCGCTAGAAAGTATCAAAGGACTTTCTCACGTAACAAAAATAATAATTTTTTAATTATTGTTACCGAGGCCCGGTTCTGGTGATGGCCAAAAAGATCTGAACCCTAATTGGTAGGATTAATTAGAGTTTCCGGAACCGTACTAAAATATTTTCGTTCAATGATTGTGGAGGTCGTCAATAATTGTCAAGCAATGGATGGCTCTCAAAAGTAAAACCGATATAAAATTGAGTTTCAAATGAAAATAATATCAAATTATTAAGTCATGAGAAAGTAAACATGAACACAAAAAAATGAACACAAGCGAGAAAAAAAAACACATAAGTAGCTTAAAAATTACATCAAACAACATCAACCAACATCGAAACCAACTTAACTAAATTTGAAAAAAAAACTTAACATTTTCAATTAAAGATGCAAATGTCTATAAAAACATAACACAAAAGAATATAACTAATACATTTAGAAATATTATACTAAATGATAAAATAACATATTTAATCTTCAATAATTGCAAATAAATATTATAGAAACTTTAAAATAACTTCATTCTTATTACCATGTCCCGAAAGTACCGAAAGAAGCGGGAATTAATAATTTCGAGTCCCGGTTCTTTCATGTCCCAAAAGAACTGGGAATTCCCGGTTCTGAACCCTACAGGACACCGTGTATAGACACTTGTTAAAGATGAATTTACTCAACGACAAAAATAAAAAAAAATATTGAAATATAGTAAAAATCTCAGGAGAAATACTGTTGTTGGGTTGATTTTTATCTGAGTATATAAACTTTTTACAAATTAAAATTGAAAAAAAATATTAACAACAATTTTATTGTTAACTCTACATTTTTAAATTACAGTAAATGAGTCAATTATAATTAGAAATATATTTTTTTTTATTTCCTGTTCCTATTATATTGAAACTAGTATAATTACTAAAAATGAAAATACCAAATATTTACCATAATAGTTATCTTTCCTAGTTCACTAGTATTGTATATAAAATTATTTCAAGGTTTCCAACAATGTTATTGTCACATATTATGCGTATCGCACATTAATTTTATGATTTGCAAAAAAATACCAGTCCTTTCGTAATGTTTACTGTGTTGATTATATTTCTGTGTCTGCAATTCTGCATTGGAAAATGTAAAGAAATAATTATGTAGACACAAGTTATATTATTACAAATCTCTCTCTGGTACTCTGTGTAACGAAGGTTTCTTTGGTTGATTATTTATTTATTCAAAGTAAGAAAAAAAATACACATTTCAAGGGTAGTGATTATTTAAATAATTAATTATTAAAATAATTTTAATAAATTTACATTTATTTTTCTTTCTGGTAATTATTCTGTTCGGTACTTCTATAGTTTTTATTTTTTTCTTAATCGAACAATAAGATTGTGGTTATTCCGTGATTCAACAAAAAAAATCCAAAGCATTTATCGGAATTTGATTTTGAAAAAGTACGTCCTTTTAATTCTCATTTTCAAAGAATTATTGATATATTTATCGAGGTTTTATACGTAATTTTTCAAGAGTTCTAATAATAATTAATTTATTTTAGAGTATTTATTGGTAGTAAAATGAAGAAACTAAATAAAACAGGATTCATTCGGTCCCGTTAAATATCCTAATAAACCGAGTACAAAGCGCAGTGCCAAAAGTTCCACAGATTAAGTATTATTTCAATTGGGAATACATTTTTCAAAAAGGGCAACAATGCATTCAAAGTTTGACAACGCCATAGCCCTATTAAAAGTCCGAGGAATGGCGCCAAGATGAAATAAGTGCCACATCTGTAAGTTAATCTGTGACAATGCTATCATTGATAAAACCGCAGGTAAAACTGCCAGTGTATATGCTAATTGTTAATACGTCTTACCTGACGGCTATTTACAGATTTCATTTGGTTGTCACTTCAAACAGAAATATACAACATTTAATCAGTTGTTTATTATTTGTTTTGTGCCCAACCTATACTTGCAAAAAAATGTCACTCATATCGTTAGAGAAATAAGTACATAACATCGAGATATTCTAAAATGTTTGTTAATAAAGTCCTTGATTAAAACTAAATCGTTTATGTGTACAGGGTGGCCCAATAATATAGGACGTCGAATGAACTCGAGCTGTAACTAGAGTTGTCAGATTGTTAAAGCCAAATTCCGGAATAGGAAGCCAGGACTAGTGATGTAAAATTACTGGTAATTTATAAATCGGTAATATTAAGGTAACATTGGTAATTTATTAAAAAAAACAGCTGTTAAATAATATTATTTCTTTTATTTCAAAAGATTTCAAACTAGAAGAACTCCGTTATTTTGGACTTACTTTAAAAACGGTAAGAAAGAAAATATTTGCACTTATTTAAGACGCACCCTGTATAAAACATCATTGGCACCATAACATTTTCATTTTACTGTACTGAGTGATCTTTCTGTAATTACTTATTTCTTCTGTAGTTCTACTTAACTTTATGGTTACCCTTGTTCAAGTTTTTGTTTTTTGCTCTTTTGTGCATTGTTTTCTTTAG